CACGTACACTTTCACTTTTATAACTGTTTTTTTCAATTTATCCAGTGGTAGCTAAAGGAAAACAGGAATATTTCTCGGGGGAATGGTCTGCTAAAATATTTAATACCTCTAGGCCAATGTTATCGGCCAATACACAAACATTCAGAACATAGACGTACAGCCTATTTGGTGTGGCATCTTTGGGAAATTGCATCGATTATTGCATAATTATTGCCCTAATCCTGTGGGGGAGGAGGGTGAACTCTTCCTGGGTGGAAAAAGCATAATACACTCTTTTCAGTATCTGAACACAACACTTGGGAAGTGTAAGGGAGAGGGAACTCTGCCGAGAGTTGCATTATTTTGAAATGTATGTGCTTTTCTCTCAACCTGCCTGCGAAACAAGCATAATTATTATAATAATATATCTATATAACAGAGCTAGCTAGCTATCACCAGAGCAGAGTAGTCGCTCATGCAGGTTGTCCCTGCGTTATGAAAAATGACGCAGAGGTGACCAACAGCACTAGTCTCCAACGCAAGTCACCTTCTTCGCTCCCAAGTAGCTCAACTCTGCAGCGCGCGCAGCCAACTAGCCCCTCCCCCACGATTGTGGGCATTGCGATGCACGCATGCGCGTCGCTCCATATAAAGTCGCTCGACGCGAGCTAAGTAACTTAGACTCAGAAAAGGATGGTGAGCGTAGAAGAACGCGGGGTTCCGTATGAGCCGAACTGGGTTTCAGGGGACCTGGTCGGCTATGACGAAACGACCGAAGTCCCGCTAAGCGCCGTCTCGGAGACGACCGGGGAAGAGGAGGTGACGGAGCCTCTGCAACAGAGCGACCTCCTGCGACCTCTCCTCGTGGACATCGCCAGGCACGGACTCAGCCACGCGTACGAGAAATACCGCAATCGGGGCCGTCAGATCTGCAGTGGTGGAGGTGAATGCAAGCAGACGCAGAATGCCAAAAACGTCATCGTCGTGGGTGCGGGGATGGCGGGGATGGTGGCCGCGTACGAGCTCATACGAGTCGGCCACAACGTGACGATACTAGAGGCCCAAGACAGAGCCGGAGGCCGAGTGCGCACCTACGACCACAAGGACGGCTTTAAGAAGGGACTTCACGTGGACGGTTAGTTTATTAGCTAATTGCGGTGCGGAAAGTTAGGCCTCACTCGGGTAATGTAAGCGCTGGCACGGATAGCTTCTTAACCGGGTTTCAAGGTAAACACCTAGATGCTCGGTTCGACATCAACTGCGATATAGCTAGTTTCTGTTAAAGTCCCATAAGATCCCAACTCCACTAACAAGCCCCCCCATGAAGTGCTCCTGCTGTATTTGTCGCAAATTCTTTGTAGGGATGTCGATCATATCATAAGAACAATAAGTTGCATAGCTAGACGAGACACAAAGTCATTCATAACTTCACCCCTACATCTTTGTTGCTTTCGGGTTTTTAACGAGGATAGCTAGCAACATTTGCAACCCAGGACGAAGATAATTGGGATTGGGTTATGGATGACTTTTCATCTCAGAGTAAAAGCATCTTCTTTTTCGTACCTACTAACCATCAAGCTTTTTCGCTGAAAGTCGAGCAAAGGTACTGCCCATCCCATCAATACATATCCAAATCTCTCTTTTGTAAGAGCCTTGGATGCATCTTGCTCATAATTATCATTTTGAAGGGGCACACAGCATTTTCAAGCATCCCTAATCAAGCAGATTTTCAAGCAAAATCTTGGGTTGGTAGGATGCAGTAAGTGACACTTTATCCCCGGCCTTTGAAATACTTTATCCACTGTTCCACTTAATTAAATATGTGACAAGCCCTAGCTAACAAAAGGCAATATAGCTATCTATGAGCAATGGACAGTTTACAAAAAGAGTATATTATAGCTATTATGCCAATAGTTAGACAATGTAGACCATTCTATAGTGTCTCCTAGGACCAGGGACTAGGAGCTATAATAATATTGAGGTTAGGGTGTATATATGTACAGCACCGTTAATTGACTAGATTGGTGAAGTGACAACTAATATAATGCGTTAAGGATGCAGATAGGGATGTTCCTATATAGCTGTCTCAGTCTCAGTCTTTCCCAGGTCAGGTGGTATAAGAGTTGATTCTTAAGACAGGCTCTGAGAAAACGACCCTTATGACGCAAATTTGCAAAAATATTTTATGCACTAGACCGAAAGTCCTAATAAATATGGTCTATAGTTTGCAGTTTGTTTCAGGGGCGTAGCCCGTTCCGTTGCGAAGTTATGAGCACAAACATATAAGTGCCATTCCGCTTCATCTAATGTGAAAAATCGCACCTAAAGTTGACCTTCCGGTGTCAAATTTCTAATTATGGAAACTGGATACATGGTTGTGGTTAGCTACCACTACCATAGGGTAGGGCTAGGGCTACAACTGACTGTGACAATGGCAACAGATGTGGTGCTGTTCTTCTCTCTCAACTGTTATGAATAATTGTGCCATTAGCTACTGCACGTCACTTGCTGGTGGCTATGGTTTTATGCACCCACAGCGATTCACCTCTTCACAAAGAACAACTGGTGGGGTGACACCCTAATAAAGAAATTGGTAATATGCACTCTTTGATCTTTAATGCCACCCTTGATAGGCACTAGGCATGCTTTTACAAAGTTAATTGCTATAGCAGGGAGCATTTATCAAGAGGTGCATGCATGGTTTCATCGGGCAATGGTGGTGCAGTGGATGCACCAACAGTATGTTGGATAAGAAATACATGGAATAATTATTGCCTTTGATAATTGTCCAAGAATTCTTCAGTCGATCTAGGTTTGCTAGCTTCACCAATCAAACTTCCCTTACGGACTGCACAATGGTATGTTAATTGCTTCACATGCTACCTAGCAGTCACCCCACTCGAGTAAGTACATTCCATGCTAGGGTTGGAGGTTTAGATTTTTATCTAGCCAGGTGTAATGGCATTTTTCATGACTATTGAACTGCTAGTGAACAATTCTCCCCACCCTCTCTCCCCCCTCCCCTCTCCCTCTCCATCCTTGCCCTCCCTCTCTCCTCTGCAGCTGGGGCCATGAGACTGCCGAACCGACCTGGAGATAAATACAAGGTCCACTTCCTCACTGACTACTACACTGAGGAGCTTTTCAAACTGGAAGTGGTCGACTTTGTCAACAGCAACGACAACACGTTCCTCAAGTTCTACAACCATCCCCTCACACAAAAAAAGGGTAAGTTTGGCAGCTAACACTCTCTCTCCATCTCTCTCTCTAGTTTAGGTCAGTGTCAAATTTCTTACTGTTCATATTCAGATTGGGATGATGCCACATTCTCTAAGCTGTGGCCAGGGTGGGATCGCACCATTCGACTGACCGGAGCCAAGTCCAAGTACAACATCACCAACATTGGTAGGTAGCTAATGATGAATTTCCACTGGTTGTTAAAAGACTGAGGGTAAGAGGGGGATGTATAATTATACAGTTTTTGCTTTCATCTTTTTGTCTACAATAATGGTGACTATAGTCTGCTGTCAAAAAACTGGCACAACTGTGAAAAGGAAAAGAATGGGTGTGGATCCTAGCAATTTTGAAGGAGGGTAAATTGCCTTTGTCCCTGTCCTGACGACCATGAAGATGAGGTATAATGCAAATAGCTTTAATGGAACAATAAATCCCTTGTTTGGGAGTATAAGTACTGTTATGGAACAGAAGTGTTAGGATCCAGCACTTTGCCAGTTATCCAAGTGTGCTGTCTGTCGCAACCTTAGCTGGCCTACAAGTTTTGGAATCGGCAGTGTTTGCCATTGAGTGTCTATAGCTATTATTATCACTAAGTACGGTAGTAGGGCTTGTGTGGAGTAAACTTTACATGAGCAAGAAATGTCAGTTTGAAGATGTAACAATCATCCCATTGTACTACTGCATCACATGGCCAGGTCATCCCTGTCATGTCTCCTTGCTTTTTATGGCATCCATATATTCCACACTTTTAATTCGCAGAATTTTTATTTACTTGTATGCCCTAGTGGTTTTGCGGGGAATTCCTCGCTTGGTGATAGTACACACACCACACATCTATTGATAATGTAAAAATGAAAAGCACTGAAGTGCAAACCCTCGGCGCATTGTGACGCGCACGCGTGAGTAAGCGCATGCGCTGTATCACTAATTGATGGGCTGGGTTTAGTTGTTTAGTTCTGGCCGTTACTCCTGGTCTCTAGCCATCTCGCGCAGAGTCTGACTACACTACTAGACATCATGCGAGAGGCGATACACGCCCTGCGTTGCATCTTCTGGTGCCTCCGAGGTCGCAGAGCACGCGGATCGATAAGACCGCGGTAAGCCGTCCCGTCTGTTGTGTATTTGCATATTGGCTTTTTCGTGCTCTAGCTTTGCAACGGAGCATTTTCAGAGAAAACCGCCTTTATTTTCTGACCTTCGTCGCCCGTTGGGTAGATGGTATCGTTTCTGGGACGAACAGACGTTCCAGGAGTGAGATATAGAGTAACAGACAAACAAACAGACAGACAGACAGACAGACAGACCCAACTACTGTACCCTCGCTGCGCATGCGCGCCGAGGGTAATTAGCTTACCAACGCATTCCACTAAGAGGATAGCAGTTACCCACGTGGAGTATGAAATGATGCATAGGGCACATGCATATTGAGATGTATTACGAGCCTGTAAGTGTACTGCCAGTGTGTTTAGCTATACATTTTAGCTTAGCTTGGATGAGTTTTGGTCTGCAGGGAAGTAGCTAACACCATAATTACTACTTTCATGCATTATTTGGTGATATAGTGAAACACTGGGAAGGCCTAGGCTTAAACATAGCATGAGTGTGTAGACAATGTGTATAGGCTCTACTAGGATGTACTGGGGGAAAGTAACAAAACCATCTGTAAAGACTTTAATGCAATGTTCGTGGGTGATATCTATAAAATAAAAAAAAAACTGGGAAGGGCTAGGCTTAAGCATACCACAAGGGTGTAGACAATGGGTAGGCTCTACCTGGGAAAAATGGCAGTACGTTAGGTAACTGGTCTAACACTAGCTCTTTCTCTACCACGTACTACAGGGCATTGCCTAGGTTTTCTGGAGGATTGCATCCCAACAGTGCATGCGTGTGGACACTATGCGGTACTCAGCATTTACCCTCACCTGATATTTATACCTGATCATGTACCCAGCCACTCTATCCAAGAAGAAAAGAGAAGCATCTGGTAGCTTTTTATGCAAAACCTGGTCCTGAAGGATATCCAAACTGCTATTCCCATGGTTTGATGCTCATCTCAAGCCTATGTTGGAAAAGTGTGCATCATGTTGACTGATAATGGTGTGGTCTGACAGATACAGCACTAGCTTACTCTGCACCTTGTCTCTCTCTCTACCGCATTCTTCATTATAATAAAATGTATTGAACGTGCACGTTATCTACAGTATGAGTCACAAAAAAGTAAACGAAAGTAACGTTACTTGCGAAGTTACTTACGCGTTAGTAACTATCTAGTAACCTTCAGTAACTTTCAAGTCAGTAAGTTACTCAGGAGTAACTCTGAAGTCCTGTAAAGTTACCGAGTAGTAACTTCTAGTCATGTAAGGTTATCGTGACGTAACGTGAAGTAACAAGGTCTTTAGCCTGGCCCTTAGCTCTGTCCCCTTACTGTGAACTTCTTTGGTGCGCTCGGTCTACACACGGCTAGCTCCACTGGGTAACGCGGCGCGCCTTCCAGTTCGCGACGCGACGGCCTAGCCGTGGCTCTAGCGCGACTCTGCAGCGCGCGACAACGCGGCTTACGGGTCGAGAGGGCGTGGCTGAGATGGCCGGGGCCGGCAGCCGCTTGGTTCCTTCGCGCGCGTCTTCCCGAGCTATCGGGCGGCAGCGCTGTACCCCTCTGCTGGGGAGCGCGACATGTAGCCCGAGGATCTACAGCGGACACTCAGACCGTAAGCTACCCATTCTTCCGTGAAGATTGGCTGAGTGTGATGCGTGGGGTGGAACATGGGCCCGCTTTGGAACGTTGGTGTACCGCCAAGTTACTTCAGCTTGCTTCCTAGTGGTAACTCTGAAGTACGCTTCGGGTTACTAGTTAGTTACGTTCAGGTTACTTTGTGGTACTCTGAGTCGCTCAGGTTACTAGTTAGTAACTTTGAGTCACTTTCAGTAACGCAGCTTGATGTAACCTTACTTCGAGTAGTAACGTGACTTTCCCGTTTACTTTTTGTGACTCAAAAATACGTTATATATTGCTTTACTAATAGCAATCAGTGTGTCTAAACCCTACCGATACCTACTATGTAGCTAGAGCTCACCACCATGTCGTCATAGACACCTTGCCGGAATCCTCCTGGCTGGAGTCGTCAGTCCAGCAACGCGCTCCGCATCTGGGGAGGGGTAAGTGGTGGAGACATCGGACGTCGTCCCCACTGGACGGGTTCTCCACACTCCACCAAGGAGGCCGTAATCGAACGAATCCCGGCCGACTATCGTATCGGCCTGGACAAGCTCGGCGAAATCCTGCCTTGGCCCGAGGCAGCCGTCCACTGCCTACGAGGTGTTCTCCTACACTCCTGCAATGGACACCAGTCTGGTCGAGTTTCTCCGCGAGGACTATGGGCCCACTGGTGGACGCCTCACATGCACACCATCAAGGGGGGATGTCGGGGCTCCCCGAGGCTTTCAAGAAAGAGTTGAAGAAACACAATCAAGTTTGGGTTCACGGTGACCGAGATCGAGTACGAGTCGCCGTCGGACGACCTCCACAGGAAAGTCACGGTGAAGGGGTTCAAGGAGAGGAAGAGTGACGGGGAAGTTGTGCAAAAGAGCATCGAGGGGCCGCTGTCCATCGTTACTACTCCGATCAACATCCTGAGACAGATCAGGTTCACTCCAGCAACTCCGATCCAAGGACAAAGTCACGCCAGTTGATGCGATGAAGTTCTACAAGGCCATCGAGGACATCTGGTACGGGCCGTCAGTCCAAGATAATGCTCCAGTGCAAGACGAGGTTCTGGGAGACAGAGTACAAGATCCAGGTGGATTCACCAAGACCAATCTCCCCGTGGGCCAGATCCACTACCCCAGCAACCCCGGGTTCGACACCATCCCTAAAAAAATAAAGGAGGGAATTCTTCTCGTGTACACCTGGAAGTCTGAGGCCCTCCTGTTTGGTGCTCTGACCCCCGAACTGGCCGTGGCTGAAGCCGTCGATCAAATTGCGGAGATCCACCCCCAAATCAGGGGGCAGTTTGAGTTTGGTGCCATCAAGGCCTGGTACAACGACCCTGCCGAGCAGGGAGCCTATGCCCTCCTGAACCACGGCAGTGCAGCACGTCATGTGGCTCATGTACCCGTGGAGGAACATCTACTTCGCGGGAGAAGCCATCTCGTTTGCCAATGGATGGATCCAGGGGGCCTTGGAGTCTGGGCTGAGAGCTGCCTACCAGTTCTATGCTCGAAACGAGAGCTCTGCCGGACAGTAAGTCGCTATACCAAATGGAACAGACTAAGAGACTTGGATAGCAGAAAATGAAACAGAAAGTAGTATTATTAGTTGCCTTAGTTGCCTTGTGCTGTGCAGAGTAGTTTTGTTGCTCATTATAAGTAGTGAATGATAGGATGAAATGCACTCTACCCGCCTCAGTCTATAACAATGTTTGTCATCGGTGAACCCCACAAAACAGACCTTCCTCATAGTGACTACCTAACAGTAAGTAGAGTTACAGGAGATGCAGAAAGATGGAGAGCTGTAGCACTTCACAACCATGCATGCGTTTAATTGAACTTGAAAATGTGTAAACATGACAGTGGAGACAATTTGTTAGCTACACCTTCCTCTCTGCTCTACCTACAACTTGATCTCATTGTCCCACCTACTCACAGCCATTATTGGCGAGCGGAAGCGAGCTAACCTAGTGGTCCGAACGGCGCGATTTTTCTATATATATAATTATGTTATATGTCACCGTATACAGACGGACACCACGAACCCTCGCTGCGCATGCGCACCTAGTGTTTTTAGCAGTTTAGCGCATGCGCAGTTCGCCGAGGTTTGCACTTAGTGCTTTTCGGAAATAACGGTACCTTCATGCATTCCTGCACTCATACGTTTAATTCGCATGGCACCTTGACTGGCCTGTTACATAATTTCTGAGCGCGTTAGCGTGAGGCAACTACTCCGGGTTGTATTCGCGTACGTACGTACGTGTCGGTCACGCTTAAGAATGTAAATTAGTCACGCTTAGGAATGTCAACTTCCGTCATTCGTAGGAAGTCTAGCTTCCGCCGTGCGCGCAGATTCGTATATAGGAAGTCCGAACAGTCAGTAGAGCGCGCGCACGAGTGGCCTCAGTCGGACTGTTTACGCATTGGCTCGGCAAAATATGCGCGTGCGCATTCCTAGTAACTAGTGGAAATGTTGAACGAGCGGGAGCGGGAATTTTCCCGAGGATTTGCCCGGGCTGTATAAAGTGCCGCCAGCGCACAGCTTTCCTTTCGTGAAGCAAGACAGATCTACCTGTCGCCGTTATCTGCGTATTGTACGTTGGCAGAACGGTGAGGAGGTGAGCAGACGGTCTTACCTTATGCTTTGAAGTCGTCAGTCGTGGTCCACCAGGCAGCTGGCATGCAGCAGTACGTGCACGAGCAATCCTAGGCGTAGTTGCAAGTTGCAACTTGGAACCATGAAGATTGGAAAGAGGTACAGCCTTGGTCAGTCACAGAAGGTTGCAGCGCATGCCGTCGAATGGATAAGAGTTCTCTAGCTGGCTAGATCGTCCATCCGCGAGGCACCGTGTGTGTGAAAATGCGTAAAAATTTTGAAATAGTTCGGATAAAAAGAAGCGCGTACAAAGCCTCGGTCAGTCAGGTTGCAGCGCATGCCGTCGAATGGAGGATGGTTTCTCCGCGGGCTAGACCGATCAGCGAGGCACTGTAAAATTCGGAAATTAGTTTCGGATAAAAAGAAGCGCGTACAAAGCCGCGCATGCGCACATACACGACGTACGATACAGAAAATTCCACTCGAACGAACGACTAGGTTGGCTCGCTCCCGCTCGCCAATAATTATTGCCCCTTCATTATTACTAGTAGGCGAATGCATGGCATTTTTAGCGAGCGGGAGCGAGCACACAATGGCTCTATCTGCACGAGCCATCCTACAACTTGAACCTTAGAATCACGAAGATTGGAAGGAGGTATAGACAGCCTCGGTCAGGTATCGAAGAGCGCAGCAAATAGACGAGAGTTCTTTGGCTGGCTATATTTCGCATCGATATGACAGCTAGGGCAGCGTGTAAAAATTTGCGCGTTCCCTATCACGAAAGCGACGCTGATACAAACGAGCCTCTCTGCTCAGGAGTCTCACGGGCACGATGTTCTCCTTACCTCTCTCTCGACGACGAAGGGCATCTTCCCCGGACATGTATACGCACGACATCATCACAGGCAGGCAGCATGTGAAAATTTGAAATCCTTTCGGAGCGCGTAATCCTGGAGCATGCGCAGTTGGACGACGTACGGTCGTAGATAAATAAATGCGCACGGAATGCGCACGCGCATATTTTGCCTCGCGCCTGCAAGCCAATGCGTCTAACAGTCCGACTGGGGCCGCTCGTGCGCGCGCTCTACTGACTGCGCGCGAAGCCAGACTTCCTACGAATCTGCGCGCACGGCGGAAGCTAGACTTCCTACGAATGACGGAAGTTACACTTCCTTTTGGTGACTAGTTGACATTCCCAAGCGTGACTAATAAACGTACGTACGTACGCATATCGCGAGAATACAACCCGGAGTAGTTGCCTCACGCTAACGCGCTCGGCAAAAATAAATATATAGAAAGTCCGCGTACCACTAGGTTAGCTCGCTCCCGCTCTCCAATAAAGACATCGTTCAGATAAGTACACAATCTACTATGATTAACTTGGAACTGATCCAATACAAACTAGCTACGAAGCATCTTCATTGGGGGTTAAGATGGTGGATGTCGGTACTGGTCAGAGTGGACCAGGCGATGTGGCAGTGAACTAGTGAGTGAACAGGCTTTCTCCAACTGCCGTTGTCGGAGCTTTACCATCAGTTGGTGCAGTGGTATTCCAATGATGTAGGTCAAAGGAACCAACCAGAGAAGGAAGATGCAGGAAAAATGGTCTTTGAATTCTGCTGCAACAATTGCAGATAAACTCTCTCTTGACATAAAGGTGCAGACCAGTGCCTGCCACAGAAAGAGATTTGCACTGATGACATTGAACGCTGAGTACTCTTCTCTGTAGGGCTGGACAATCACGACTACTGTAGCGCCAATTATTGCAGCAACAGTTAAGAGAACCAAACTTATATCAGTGAGGGAAATTGAATAAATCAAGTAACAGAAACATTTGAAGAGTACCCAGAACCCTGCAAACCACCTGCAATCCCATGTACCATTGCTGCCATCTTTGTAGTACTTCTGAAATGACTCTACGAAAGTTTCCACTGTATTTCCATGTATTTGACATTTAGTGAGGCACTTTCGATAAACCTTACACTGGTAACAGAGCAAAAGAGATGTTGGGAAAGCAATATATAAATACAGCGAGAATGGCAAGAGCCATTAGTGCATATGGCAGGTGTTCCTTGCCAAAGTATATGATACTTGGATCGTAGAATAGGTTTCGTGAGTATGGCTTCCCTTCACGTGTGTAGACTTTTGTACTGATTAGGAGATCACATGACACACTCAATAGTTTTAGTGGTGGAGAAGAAGAAGAATGTGACAAAGGCATCCATAATGGTAGTCTGTATACCCCAGTGACGACGAAATCGAGCAAAGAAATAGTGAAAGGGCTTCCACATGCACCGCAATGGTCTAAACTCAAAGCCATATAATTCAACCATAGCGTATAAAGCAGCCATTAGCAGCATAGGATAGATAGCTATGAGATAGTCCAATACCAGGATGTGAAGAGGAATGACATTGATACAGACATCGGGTAAGACATTCACACGAACAAAGTCCAGATTCCAAATTCCATAGTTTGATAAGACCATTGCTACAGGAACTGTATGCAACGCAGGACTCTTCTTCTGTGATAGATAATAGAGGATCACCTTCACTTGTGCAGGAGTTGAAATAGTCTGGGCAGCATAGACATACATATAGAGCTTTGGGGAAAGCACATTGATCCTGAAGACTAAAATTATGACAATGGAGACTGTGAGAGGGGGATCACCACAAGACGGATAGCTAGGCCCAAATTCGGGAGCAAACCCAGGCGAGCGAAAAACCAGCAGCCAAACGGGACCCCATGGTCCGCTCTAACGCCGCGCCCCTGCCTGGCGCATGCGCACGGCTCACTGATGCTGAGTTAGCAGCAAATGGCGTTGTTCAGTGTCGACCATGGAAGAGCTCCATGATCTACCGTAGTGACTTGCGGCAAGAAAGAAAAGATCGCTTGATGTTCGTGCACACCTCCGGCAAAATTTGAGAGGTTCAGTGAAAAAATCAGCGCTTCAACTGGTACTGGTAAGGAGATAGCGGGTTTAAAGAAGAAGAAGATGAAGAATATTATGATGACACGAAAACCAGAAATCGCGTATCAGCGGATTCTCGTGTCGAGAATTGCAGGGACGTATGCAACTTTTGGGCATATGTATAGGTAGATATGGACCCGTGAGTGATTTTTGGTGTGTTTTGAAGGCATAGCTAGCCATTCTCGCTGAGGTTTGAGGAGTTTTGTACGCAGATCACGTGAGATTTCACTCGTGCCGTCCCTACATAGAGCGTCTACCGACGCTCTGATATCAGGCAATAAAAACTTGTAAACTGTGTTTGTGCCTATAACTAGCTTATGGTGGGTCCTCTAACAATGAAACTGGATATACGCTGATGTACCATGATCAGAGTTAATCAAAACTGTTTGTAAACAACAGCAAACAGCCTCAGGCAATAAAAACTTGTAAAATGTGTTTGTGCCTATAAATTACTTGTGGTTGATCCTCTAACAATGAAACTTAGTACACTGATATGCTATGATAATAGTTCATAGAAACAGAAATGACAAGTTTGTAAACAACAACAAACAGCCTCAGGCAAGAAACTTCTACAAATAATTATGACATGGCAGAGCTACCTAGCTGTCCATTATACATTCATTCTGCCGTTGTATAATACGTAGCTTCAAAAGCGCATACAATACGCGGGCACGCGGTAAAGTAGCGGCTGGCATGGCCTGGGCAGGGGTTGTTGCCATCGTTGCGCTGCGACGACGCGAGTCCGGCCCACACGCGCATGCGTACGATCACGTCGCGCGTGTTTACCAATATTCTCTGTATTTTTCAAGCTTACGTGAGGATGGTTATCTTTATGCAGCCTTTCATTTAGACCTAGCACTGCTAGCTGTTCGAAGTCTCTTCGGACTACGCCTCAGCAGTGAATTGGTTGGTAAGTGACATTGTAGGGGCATGCAAATGTGGGGGGAGTGGCAGCACGGGTCGCGGCAGAGTAGATATATACGACGGAGGCTGGGACGTATATAGGAGCTGGGAATGCGGCCT